CCCATGTTTAATGCGCACCCACATTTTTGGCCCAAACTTTCAGGGAAAAATATTTTAATTTTTTAACTCAAATTTTTATTTGTTTACATTTAGGTACTTGTTTTTTGTATTTTAAAGAAATTTTAGCATTTATTTTTTAACATATTATGGTACAAGAAATTTTATGTAACATAGTTACAGAACACAAGAACAGATATAAGGTACAAAAAATTTTATGTACTGGTAACAAACTTATGATATTTACTATCATAGAAGGCCAAGAACTCTTTGATGTTGCAAGTTTGTCATAACAAAACCGATTATCGTATTCCAGGGTATTATTTTGCATATGGATATCGTTATTGATTTCTAGAGTTACACTCTTAACTCAAGCATAAATAAAAGAATTAAAAACATTTATATAGATACAGAATTAGTACTACCCATGTGTAATGCACATCCTTATTTTTTCCTCACAAATTTGGGCAAAAAAGTGCGCATTTTACATGGCAAAATATGGTATATTTTTCCTGCTTTTTTCAGTTGTTTGAATTGCTACCTTTATCATATTTTAAAATCTTGTATACACTAGACATTTTTTGTGTTTCTTATTCTGTTTTATTTTTTCTTGTTTAAGTTCCAGACATTATATAACTTTGTAATAATTTTAGCATCTGGTAGATTACTCCTCTTTTACATATTCATGTTCACTTTTAAAATTAATTGCTATAATTTCCTTTTCTTTATCTCAGGAATATTTTAGTGGATAAACCAAATGACCAGTCTTCAAGGTGGTCTTCAGAGAGCAACTATCCTCCCCAGGTAAGATGATGTGTAACTCCTGATACCATTTAGAAGTCACAATTTAAATAGGCACTTAACTGATTGACATGTTATTTGGAATCCAGTAATAATTTATTCAATCTTTGAAATTGTGAGGTAAATTTTTATTTTCTCTGTTTCTGTTTGTTTAAATTTTGGAACAATTTTTATTTCATAGGCAAATGCAGTGTGGGATTTGATGAAACAGACTTTTTACTTATGTCTACTGGAACATTTAAAATCTGATTTATATTTTTTCTGGATTCCTAATGATGCAGAACTAAGTTTCTTGATACCATTTGAGGAAAATGTTAACTAAAAAGAAATAGTTTTAAGTGCTGTTACTGCTTTGAGCAGTAACTGGTTGAAGTGATGATCTGAGCAGAGGTTGTAACTTCTACTGCACTGAAACTGAAATCATTCTATATATGTTTAAGGAAATATTAGTAAGTTGATCTTTGACTCAGGACTCAGTTGCTGACTTTTAGGGAAAATAAATATAATATACTTCGTTATTTTACTAAAGTAACATATTTAGATGATGTCAGGACCATGAGCTAAACTCTTTCCTTGACAAGAGTCTGAGGCCATCTGAATTTAAAAATAAAAATAATTTAAAAATGAATGCACTTTCAGCATTAATTATAATGACCATATCCTTGAGGAAATTAATGCTCTCATAGGCAAAGCAGATGGATAAATAAAACTTGCTTTTTTTTTTTTTTAAGATTTTTTTTTTGGGAATTAGGGGATGGGAACAGCGCTGGGGAATTGTGGGAAGGGGAACAGACAAGTTGCTGTCGTTTTGTTCTTCAGTCTAGTTGTGGAGGANTTTTTTTAATTTTTAATTTTTTCAGTCTTGACATGGCCTCTTTATCAGTCTTCTTTATTATTGAATCATAATTCTATCCTGAATTGTGTCTTCCATAACCTTTTTTTTTTTGCTTGTCATTTATTTGTTTTTCCAGACAATAATAAAAATGTTTACATTAGTCATTGAGTACCTAGAAGGGCGTTGTGGTAGTATTCTTTTGATTTCCGGAAACAGACTCCTGGCAGCTGCAACTGAAAAGCCATCAATTCTATTTTTTGTTATTCCCTGTAGGCTCTTCTATTTTATGTCCACAACATTCTTATTCTTGTATTCTTTTTCTTGTATTTCTCAATCTACATATCTTTTCTGTTTTATTGGTTCTGTTTACTTACACATTTTTCTGTCTTATGATTTTATATTCATGCTAGCCCATCACATTTCCTGTCATAGATCGCCAGCCAGCCTAGGTAGTTGTCACTGAGGCAGCTGTAAGGCAAAGTCACAGGTACAAAAACATCACTGCCTGTGATTGCTCCAGTAGCAGAGGCTGGGGAAGGAATATTTCTCGTTTTAGGAACCAGAGATAGTGAACTGGTATTGTGATTGACATATGAGAGGTTAATGTCTCTTGCTTATTCCTGAGAATTGGAAGGAAAAGCTATACCAGTAGCGATGGTATGTTTTATAGGCTTTTGGGAAATATACAAGCAAGGATATAAAGAAAAATGTGCTTTTTAGAATGCTACTGTAGTGGCTCTGTTGGTGAAGGGCTAATGTTAATAGTAATCGTCCTAAACTATTGGGTTGTTGGAAAAGTCATGATGTATTTTTCTATGTTTTTCTTTGCAAAAATGCATCATGACTTTTCTGACAACCCAATAGTTCCTCAATTTCTTACAAAACAGTGGAAATGGATTGAGGGAAGAAGCATCTCAGAGGGAGTTAAGTTAAAGACAGTCTGCATTTGACTTTAAGCTTTGAGAGGTGATCTGTCACAATTTCTAAGAAGCAATAAGCCTTTATTAGTTGCTGCTCCATCACCTCCTATGTCTTTAAAAAGAAGGAAAAGAACCCGATTTGATTATCTGATGATAATGTAGTCAGTTTACCATAAATACGGAAAGTTTGTTTTTTTAGTTTCTTTCCATATTTTCTGTGATTTTTGCTTTATTTTTGTTTAATTAAGACTCATAATTTATATTATCATCATTGTTTGAAAACATTTATCTAATTATTATTTTCACCCAGTTAATATTTTTTGCTTTAAATCCCCCCTAACTTTACAAAATTTGCATCTGCCTATATATCTTTTATCTATCATGAGTCACTTCGTTATTGTGTATGTGCCATCCTATATAGATAGTGATGTTTCTACTATTCACCTAATCCAGATGATATCCCATTATGTTATTTTAGGCCATTTATATGTATGGCTGTAATAGATGCTTGATATTTATATTGTCATTTGATTTTAAATTTCCTGTTCTTAATATTTCCTGCTTTTATTTAATCTTTTTTTCCTGCTTTTTGCTATATGTTCTTTTTGCTATTGGTGTTCTGTCTCAAATAATTTAGAAGGTATGTACTATATGATTATTTTAATCTTGCTTAATTCTAAACTTTAAATAGTATTCTTAAGTCTGTTTTCTTGTTACTAAGTTCGGAAGCATTATTCCTAGGAGCTATAAAGATGATGGAATTAGCTCACTACATGTCATCTGATCTCCCCCCTGCCCAGATTTATTATATTTTGAGATTTTTGTGGTCCCATAGTTATAATATATTAGGTTTTCTTTCATCTTTATAACATTCACATCAGAATGTTTTTTTTTTTAATCCTAGTTTTTCAGCTTTAGCTTTTAATCATACTGTAGTCTTTTCATACATAGTTTTTTAGTCTGTGTTTTGTAATTCATTCTTTAAAAAACACACCTTTTTTTCTCTGATTATGAAAGTAATGTTTGTTAATTCTAGAAAATATGAAAAGTACACACAGGAAAAGAAGTCACTGTAATCTTAACCATTGAGAGCTACATTAACAATTAAGTGTATATTCTTTCTCCCCATGCATGAACATTATTATTACATACAATACTGATTCATCATATATATAGTGTGTGTGTGTGTATGTGTGTGTGTGTGTATACTATAAACTACTTTGTTCTTTCGTTTACTATGTAGTGAACATTTTCCAATGACAGTAAAGTCAGGCTGTAGAATACATCATGATTATGTGGTATTCTGTAACATGTATGCCATAATTTGTTTAATGAATCCCCTGTTGTTAGACAACTAGGTTGTTTACAGTCTGCTGTTATAAATTGTCCTGTGATGAATATGGATGATTTACATCTCCTGGATTATGTTTTTAGGTTAAGTTTCAAGAAATGGAACAATTCTGAGGCTATATAGTGTGTGGTGATTAAGGGCATTGGTTTTGGAATCAGATTGCCTTAGGTTCAAATCCTTACTTCTTAGATGGGTATGTTTAGGCAAATTAATTTATCTTAGTTTCTTAATCTATACATTGAAGATAATAGTTTACATATGGTAAGCACTTAGAACAAACAGTGTTTGGGATGTCATAAAAGCTCGGAAATGTTGTCATCATCATTATTTTCATTGAAAGGATAATGCACATTTAAAATGTTTTTGATATGTATTATATTAAAATTATCTCCTGAAAAATTGTATCAGTTTGCATTCCTACCAGCGAAGTATGAGAGAATATTTACCAGCTCTCGCCAACAACTGAGGTTATAATTAAAACATGTGGGGTTTTCTTGAGGGTGTGAGCATAACTCTTGTGTATATCAGTTAGCCTCTGGTAAAATTGGGTTCTTGATAACGCCGTTTCACTTCAAGTCACAGCACCTATCGACAACGTTAAGTGAGGACTTACTGTACAGAAAAGTTGCAGAGACAGTACAGAGTTCTCGTATGCCCCTCCCCTAGTTTCTCCTGGTGCTAACGTTTTCTATCACCGTGGTACATTTCTCGCAACCAAGATACCAACATCGATGCCATTACTAGTCCCCACACTGTACACTTTATTTGGATTTTACTAGTTTTCCTACTAATGTCCACTTTCTGATTCAGGATCCCATCCAAGATACCATCACAGTTGACCCTTGAGCAATGCGGGGATTATGGATGCCAACCCTGTGTAGTTGAAAATCTATGAGTAATTCGACTTCCCCACAACTTGTCTATTAATAGCCTACTGTTGACTGGAAGCCTTACTAATAATATAAACAGTTGATTAACACATATTTTGTGTATTCCATGTATTATATACTTTATGCTTGCAATAAAGTAAGCTAGAGAAAAGAAAATGTTATTAAGAAAATAATAAAGAAGAGAAAATATATTTACAGTGCTGTATGTATTTATTGGAAAAAAATCCGTGTGTAAGTGGACCCGTGCAGTTCAAACCCATGTTCAAGAGTCACTGTACTTTTCGTTATCATGTATCTTTAGTCTCCTCTGGTCTGTGACAGTTTTTTAGTCTTCCCTTGCTTTTTGAGGAGTGTGTATTTTGTGGAATGCTCCTCAATTTGAATTTGATTATTTTATTTTCTGATGGTTAGATTGGGGTTACTTATATCAGTATGGACTCATGGATATTTATTCATATTTTGGGTTATGATCCAATACTACATTACTTATTTTGTTGTTTAAATTATTTCATCCTTGGCCATTTATTCTTTTATTGTTTCATATTGGTTCTTTGACATACCCCAATTCTTTTTTTGTTTTAAACTACATGTTACTCCAGGCTTATTGTCTGAATTCCCTGCCCTGACCCTGGAATCAGCCACTTCCCCAGGAATCCCTGTTTACTTTTGTTGGACTAGCATACGTAGAAACCAAGATCTGGACGCTGGGTGTGCTCATTGTTTCTGAGGTGTCACTGCTTCTAGTCCCTCTTTGTGAGCAGAACTAAGACGATGTATTTGTGTGCGTGCGTGCGCGTGTGTGCACATGTACGTGTGAATGCACGTGTACGTGTGAATGCACACGCACATATCTATAATTACTGCTGAATTTATTTATATAGATATTAAGATAAACGTGTTCACACTGATATCTCTGACTAATCCAATACCACTGGGTTCATTCTAACCTCCTGCTCCTTGCTTTTCTGTACCTTCCCACTCCAAAGTGAGAAGCTTGGCTCCCCCCA